TAAGGTACCCATAATTAAAAAATATTATTTATCAATACTTACAATTTGATTTTGTTTAAGAAACCTATGTTTAGAAACCCCCATTGAGGGGGGATGTGCCTTTAGTCAAGTGGTTAAGTCCACTTGACTCCGCCTTCTCCACCGGAGTTCGACTCCAGTAGGTCGCGTTACCCCGCGTAGTAGGGATTGGCTATGGATCGGGCCTTGTCGATCCAAAGATGTCAAAAAAAAAAAGAAACCCCCATTGAGGGTGCTATAAGAGCTTCGATCTCAAATTGCCCAAATTTCATTTCGATTACTTTTGGAATTCAATTCAAAAAACTGATTTAAAATCATGAAAAAAAATCATGTTTTGCAGACAAAAACAAATTTTGAGAAAGAGATGGCGTACCCAAAATAGTCTTGATCCAATAGACAATCATGTTTTGCAGACAGTTAGTTTTGTTTTGGCTTGTGTTTAGGATGAAACTGTTTTGTTTGAGGAGATTGATTCATGAATGATGTTCTAAAATACTTAAGTGGTGGTGAAATTAGAAATCTCTAGCTTTATTTCAAATTCAGTTCTCTAATATTTCTTGGCTATGTTTGTGTTTACGATGAAGCTCTTTTTTGTTTTAGAAGAATAATTCGTAAATTATGTAATTATCAAATTTAAAAGAAGCTCTTGACCTCTTATTTCCGATTCCATTCTCTATTAGTTCCAGGTTATGTCTGTGCCTAGGGTGAACAAATATTTATGAGAAGATTGATAAAAAAGTAAATCTATTGTCAAAACCCTAAAACTTTATAAGATAGCTTAAACGTCTTTGATTTAAGAGAAAATGAGATTTCTTTGGAGATAAGTGTATATCCAAAAGAAATTGTACCAGAGAATCCGAACAACTACAAAGAAAGAAAGAGAGAAAATTGTATGTTTTCCAGAGATAAGAACCTTAAGTTTTATCATAACAGGTTACAGCCTCGGCAGAGCACTAGCTGCTCTTTTTCGGCGATTCACGGCTAGGATGAGCTTCTAGATAAGCTAAGAGGTAGTTTACACGTTTGGACAGCCACATATATGGGATGAAGAGTTTGGGGGGGATTTATGAAGGATATGGTGAAAAATCATGGAATAGAATATGAGAAATTTGTCTATCACAATGATGTTGTTCCTAGAGTGCTCTTTGACCAAAAGGTATTTTAAAAATTAACTTTCATGAGTTTCTTTCATTGTCGATTCAATTTTCCCCCGCTAATTTAGATCGTTCTCAGCGGTCCGAATGGAGTTGGCAAAGACGCAGTGATTAACATGCTTTGAGTAGTGTTGGGATCATTTGTCTCTTAGGTTAGGTTGGACAGATAGTTTTATTTGTGTGATATATTTAAGAGAGCACGTGGGGGAGATTTGATAAAAGTTATGCATATTCAATACCCAAACTGATGGGTGTGTGGACAGGTTGATCTGTACAAATATAGTTGGCGGACATATAGTTTAATCTGTACAATATATGTGGCGGACGGATAGTTTGATCTGTACACTATATTTGGCAAACAGATTGTTTGATTTGTACACTATATATGGCGGACGGACAGTTTGATCTGTACAATATATTTGGCGGACCAAATAGTTTGATTTGTACACTATTTGACGGACGGATAGTTTGATCTGTACAGTATATTTGGCGGACATATAGTTTGATCTGTACACTATATGTGGCGGACGGATAGTTTGATCTGTACACTATATTTGGTTGACGGATAGTTTGATCTGTACACTATATTTGGGCGGACGGATAGTTTGATCTGTACAATATATTTTGTGGACCAAATAGTTTGATATGTATACTATTTGGCGGACGGATAGTTTGATCTGTACACTATATTTGGTGGACAGATAGTTTGATCTTTACACTATATTTAGCGGACGGATAGTTTGATCTGTACATCAGATTTTCTGTTTACACATCCATCATTTTTTCGTTTTGAATATGCACACATGTTGAGTCTACATTTATCTATTACCAAATTTTTCCCACATGTTCCCTTATTGTACAAATCGAATTAACTAATCTTGCAATCACGATGAATGAAATCAATACTACAAAAATCTTGCAATCGTAGAGCCAAAGAATGAAACAAAATGGTATTTTCATTTTTTTCCCCCCTATGGATTTATATGTGTAGCCAAATTTAAATGGATTGTACGAATCACATCATATAGCCATTGGATCAATTGTTTGAGAAGAAAGACTTTTAGTGTTACATGGAGCTTTGATATATTAAAGTATGGAATGTTTTATTTAGTACTATCAAGTACATAACATATATTCGAAAAGGGTAAAAGAGAAACATATTCATTTCACCACTTTAGTAACTTAGAACATATATGACCTCAGATAACAAACTCAAAAAAAAAATTAAAACAAAAACTCAAAATCAGATTTGAAACGCCATATGAACTAGCTAAGCTCATAACAGGTTGAAGAAGCTCAAATAAAATACAAAGTAATCGCTGAAATTTTAATCCCACCGTTGAATCTTAAGCCACTAGTGCCACGAAGCTCTCCACCAAGTTTCAGCTCGATCGGAACACATATGACCCTCCAAAGGTTGCCTTGAATAAGCCATGTCAGAGCTGTTTACTCCTCCTCCAATACAAAACTCACAACTCTATTTTTGTGTTACGGATTTCTTCTCCTTATCTCTTCTCACAACAAAATTTTTTAATCACAACAAATGGAGATCAGAAACAGAATAACTAGAAAGAAATCCAAATAATCAATAAAGCTTTTACCTCGATCGAAAAATAGAACAATAATCCAAATAAGCTAAATCGAGATTCTCAATCTTGGAATCCATGGCGAAAACAAGTTCATAGAGGTAATCGTTTCTGCTTTCTCTCTCTAGTAAACTTTTCCTTCTCTCAATTTTGCAACCTTCCCTCTCGTCTGCTTCACATCAGCTTCCTTGTGTTCATGAGTCAGCTCTGATCTCATGTCTCCAATTTGTTAATTTTAGAAATTGCCAATTTGGTTTTATGGAATTCCTGCAAGCAAAAAATGAAATAGTGAAAAAGGACTCGCTCAGTGTCATGATCAAGTGGATGAAATTTTCTTCCAATTGAAAAGAGGGGCAGTCACACCTGACCAAGCTCTAGTTCCAAGTCACATTAGATTCATAGCCAAGCTATTTCAACAGGACATAGCTCCTCATAAGTCACAACTTATATAGAAATACAACAACATGGAATGTCCATAGGTTTCAATTAATCTAATCAACGTATCATCTTACTTCAGATTAAAAAAACAAACAACCACAGAACTTTCAACAATTTTTATGGGTGAAAGTCAATTATCCCCAAGATCTGAAAGCTGTTAATGGAAGGAGAAGTTGACCATGTAAAGAGGAAACTAGGTAATTAGCTCACAAATAAGACGACAAGTTTCGTGATTGACTACCAGAAATTGTGTTTACCCATATCACTGATTAATGGCTGATCGACCAACCAAAAATCCAAACCCTAGATTCCCAAAAATCAAACAAAATCGTCGATCGAGCAAAGCCCAAAATTAAAAACAAATGAAAGGCGAAATCTGAGTGTTGTGTTTTTGTTTACCTTCTTCGAGTTGGTAGCAGCGATCGCAAGATCGGAGTTAAGACGATTAGAAGAGTCTTGGTTGGTGTAGACATCGTAAGAGCAAAGGATATCATTGGACACAAAATCGAAACCTTTGGTTTTTGCAAGAGAGATAACAGGCGAGAAAAAGCTATGAGAGCGGAGGAAAGAGGTGAGTGCTGCAGAGATGGAGCGAAGATCGCAGAGTTACAGAAATAGGAGATAGAGTGGAGAGAGAAACGAGTCGCCGTCGAAACTTGTGATTATTAGACAGAAGGGCATTTTGTCACTACACCAATTCTCTTTTTCTCCATTAGAGGAAGGTTTCTACTTTCCCAGTGACTACTTTGAAAAACTGACTATTTTGCAAAGAAACCCTTATATAAAATCCATTTGGACAACCTTACTCAACATTTCAATACTGATAATATACAAAACCATTATAGAAAAAAGAAAAAATATGAAGCTATTCATTATCTGTTAAGTTTCATGGGGTTCTAACTCAAAACCAATTGGCAATGAGTGGATTGGTCCAAATCCCTTATATACTACTCAAGTCCCTTCCCATCTTTCTAATGTGGGATCTTTCTCCACACGCCCCTCGAAATAATGGCTCTTCTACCATTAATCTCGACAGAATCCATCACGCCCCATCGAGATAATGCTCTTCTAGCTATCTCGATAGAATTGAGCCTTCCTTTGGGCTATCAATTAGTGGGGGTGATCGGGCCACTTTCCGGGCCGGATAATGGGTCAGCGTATGGATCGGGTTCTGATACCATGTTAAGTTTCATAGCTTCCAACTCAAAACCAATTGGCAATGAGTGGATTGGCCCAAGTCCCTTATATACTACTCAAGTCCCTTCCCATCTTTCCAATGTGGGATCTTTCTCCACATTATCGCCGTGGTGACTATTTTGACCATCTCAAGAGTATTTGACAAAGCACCAGCCACACTGACGCAAAAAAGTTGAAGAAGATGGATGGTCATGAGCATTCCAATGACAATTTGGTTCCCGCTTTTCTAGGGTACACACTTGGTGTACTTAAAGATGATTTCATAGAAGCAAAAAGGTTAAAGAAAATTGATGATGAAAATAGTCTAAACAACATATTTGCAAATGATTTTGTGCATATTAATCCAGGAGATAGTCCCGGTATGGAGCATCTAGGAGTTATAAACAACAGATTTACAAATGATTTTGTGCCTACTAATCCAGGAGATAGTCCCGGTATTGGGCATCCAGGAGTTGTTAACAACAAATTTACAAATGATTTTGCGCCAACTAATCCAAGAAATAGTCCAGGTATTGGGCATCCAGAGTTGTAAATATTCAAAGATTTAAACATGACTAAAGGAAGCACGACGGCTACAGAAAATTGGTGATCCAGATAATTTCAAAACCGATTCAACGAATGATTTCATACCTACTAATCCCGGAGATAGTTCAGGTATAGGGCATATATAAGAAAATATTTTCTAATATCCATTACAAAAATAATGTAAAACAAAAAATCCAAATAAAGATATAGAGTATGAAATTAAATTTTATGACATTTACAAAACTAGTATTCTGGTCATCTTCAAATTACAAAAAAAAAATAAAAGGACCTTTAAAATATTATTTTCCATATTCGAAAAAAGTAAAGGGATGTAAATAGCTATGGAAACGGCAACGGAAACGCGGAAGCGAAACGTTTCGGAAACAAGAAACGATTTTTTTCTAAAATTAGGGATTGGAAACGTTTTGGAAACGTATGCACATATATATATATATATATATATAACATTAACATAAAAATATATTAAAAAGGGTTTAAATAGTACAAATCCAAAACATCAAATATTAGATAGGTTTATTAAAATTCTAAAAGATAAAGATTAAAAGATTCCATTTCAAATATTTAATTTAAACCAACATTTTCATTCTCATTTTCATTAGTTTCATCAAAGATCATATAGACCTGCCTCCAAATCTGGTTTGTCGAGAGAAAAATCTTAAAACTCAAAGTCTTCCAAAATTAATTATATGTATTATAAATCTTAATATTTCCAATTATTATTTATTAAGTTTTTAAAGTCAATAAAAATGAATCTATTTGGGAAACGTGAGTTTTCATCGTGTTTCCAAATATAAATTTTTAGGAAACGCGTATCCTTGATCTTTTTCGTGTTTCCGAAGAGTTTCCGTTTCATAAACGTTTCGGAAACGGGAAACGGACCTCTGATAGAGTTTCCATGCAACATACATAGTGTCTCCATAATTCCAAATAAAATTTTCATTTTCTCTGACTAAATTAAACAAAATTATTTCATAACTTATGAATGATTTTTTTATTCTTTATTTTAATAAAAATTGGTCTATACATTGAAATTGTATTATTTGTCCTTTATTTTAATAAAAAGTAGTGGGAAATAAAAATGGGTCTATGCTTTTTCAAGGCGATAATTTTGCTAAGCTTAACACCTCATAACTGCTTTTTCCTTAGTGATTGGCTGATTGCTATGCTTTTCCCACGTTCTGAAAATATCTTGTAAATGTTTTTTTTCCTAATTATCAAAATAAACTTTTTACACACATCTTTTTTTTTTTTTGTCATCTGTAATTAAATAGTGCTCAAAAGAGCCATTCTTGTGGAATGTTGTTTACATAAGTAATATGAAGCGGTTCCGTACGAATTTTTCGTGCCAGATTATCCGCTTTTGCATTTGCACAACGAGAAATTAAAGATAAAGAGAAGGTAGAGAACTCTTCCTTGTCGCTCTGAAATTCCTCTAGATACACTGAGAAGGCCGGCCATTCGGTTGGGGAAGACACCATCTTCACCAGGTCAGAACAGTCTGTAAGGAATGCTACCTCTTGATTATCTGCACCAATCATACACTTCATCGCCCAAAGGAGGGCCTCGAATTCGGCATGTAGCGGATTAGTGAAGATCTACTGCTCCATCAATCTCCAGATTATGTATCTTTGGCATAAAACCAAATAAACACAATCTGACATACTTAGGTATGTCTATTTCACGACACGTAACCCCCGCCTCGTTCTCATCCCAAATTTCTGAAACAAATTAGAAAAGAGAACTACAATTACTTATTTGGGTGCATGTGATACATTTAAATTGACAAGGAAAATGATTGGAAATGGGTTTTAGATACCTTATCTCTTGGGTATTTGTTTTTAACGCTCATAAGTTTTATAAAAAGCTAAAGACTATTTTTATATTGTAAGTTAAAAAAAAAAAACTTGGAATGTGTGGTCATGTGTTATGAGATACGAGTAGCTGACAATCTTTTACTCATTTCAAAATTTCAAAACTTATTGAACTCAAGTGTTTGAATCTAGTCCAATTGGGTTGAAGCTTGTTAAACACACAATACTTAACTCAAGTGTTCACAACTTCACCGATGTTCTGTTTCTCGTAGATGACGACGATATTGGGCTCGATTAGTAATATCGTTTCAACAAGTCACTGCTGGTTTAGAAGAAAATGAAGATTTTGATCTTCATGGAGAATTCAAGCTAGGGATCTCTTATGGATTTAAGATGAGGAAGTATTGCAGCTTGTTGGACCAGGCTAACTTGGTAATGATATGATCATATGAAACCTCTTTTTATAACAATGTATTCATAAAAGTTATTGCCAACGAAGAAGTATAGATGAGGAATTAGAGGTCGAAGATGAAGAAAAGTGAGGAAGATTTTCACTAATAAGATCACCTTTGTGGCAGTCATCGTGACATTTTCTAGGTTCGTAAAATCTCGTAAGTATTTAAAATACTCAAGAATAAGCGCTAGTCGCTAAGCACGGGTGACCCAATGCCTAATGTCTAAAACGCCTAATCAGAGTTTAGACGATTTCAGGCGGTTTCGGTTTTTGCATTTACAACAATGAACATTATAGACAAAAATTAAACAAAACTATATATTAGAAAAATAAAAATATTAAATAGTAATTAAAAATTAGACAAAAACATTTCTTTGATTCATATTAAACAACATATGAACATTTATAACCATTTATATGAAAGTAAAACATATAAATTTTAATATATGTAGTTGGAAATTGAAAAATGCACTACAACGATATTTATGCTATTTTAGGCGGTCAAAGATGTTATCTAGGCGTCACCTGAGCACCTAGCACGTAGTCGAGACCTAGGCGACCAACTAGAACGCTTTTTAGAATACTTAAATTTTATAATGAAAACTTATATAGCTTATAAATAATTTAAATTAATCTAATTAAATTTAGTTTAAATGCAGTAAACTCTGTTTACAATTTCGATAAAATATTGTTAGGTTATAAATACAGACGTTGAGCAGAGCCGGCCATAGTCTCATGTTAGGAAAGCATGTGCCCGAGATATAGTTATTAATAGGGTTATCTCTTAATTGCAACTTATCTCTTTATATAATGGCCACAAATTGATTACTTTTGGACAGTTTCTATATCAATCTAAACCTGTAAATGCAAGGCGATATTATAAAGATACTACAAAGATGTTACATATGAATACAGTAGAACCTCTACAAATTAATACTCGATAAATTAATAAACACGATAAATTAATAAATTTGGCCGGTCCCGAGTCGGGCCAGTGTAAAAATTAACCAAATTCGATAAGATAATAAGATAATAAGTTTTTTGAAATCCCTATGTAAAAATATAGTCCCAATAATATCATAAATTAATAATCATGTAAAATTGCACACATATATATATATATATATATATATATATAATAGTTTTAGTATTTTCATAAAAATAGTCAAAAAATTTTGTAAGTTTTCAAATTTTGAATATGCATAATTTTTGTTTTAATAGTCATATAGGTTTTTAAAATACAACAATAGATGTCACTATTTGTGAATTTTAATTTCTGTATATCGTTGGTATATGTGAATTCTATAATCGTTGTTTTTCATTGTCAAAATAAATTATTTTCTCTTCAAAATATTAAGTGTTTAAGGCTAAAACTATAAAATTTATAACATACAGAACATTAATTTTATTTAGATCACATTGCTTTACCTCGTATTTTCTTAAAAAAGTTTTCACAATTGAAACAAAAATTTCTATAAATTAATAAATATTAGATTACGCTATAAATTAATATCACTATAAATTAATAAAATATCATGGTCCCAACATTATTAATTTATAGAGGTTTTACTGTAATACTAAAATAAAGACCTGCCATGTATCGATATAGTATTACCATGCTCAAATTTATCATCTAATCAGTTTTATATAATAATAATAAAAATTCGCAAGATTAATAATTGAAGAAGATAATACTAATTGATTACCTAGAATATTTTTCCATATTTTTTTATTTTTCTATATGTTGCTTTTTTCCTTTTTACGAAATCTTAATATAGAAAATTATTAAAATCTTAAAAATATTGATATTGAGATAGCTAACCGCGATTGGTTATTTAAAATCTCACGTGGACGATCTCAAAAGCTTAGCCTCGACTTATATATAATATACACATACAAAATTAAAGAAATATGTAAAAATATCTTTTTTTTCTTTCCATCTTTCTATATCCTCTATATTTTCACTCATTTTCACATATGCAGTTCTAATCGAATATGCTTAGGTTGTGCAACTTGCGGCAGAAAATATATAGCTATGATCTCGAAATATGAGAATTTGGGTATATGATTTTGTGGTACACGATAGCTAATGTTGTTGACAAGCGGCGGTAAATTACTCTTCGCGAGATGTTGTGAAGCGTATGAAAAACTAAAATGAGCTATATTTATTGGGCTTTTCTTTAACCATGTTCACTATTTATAAATTGGGCTTGGGCCTCTCTTTCCAAACTTCTTTTGTTCAAATATTTTTCAGTTCAGAAAATTGCCTTTATTTTCTTTCTGCGAGGTAATGCAAATTCTGTTTTCTTCACATGTTCTGTTTTCTTCACGTAACAAAAATTCAATTTAATTTCATTTTCTTGCCATAAGAACCTAGTAATAGTATTTTGAAAACTGTAATTTTGGGGTTGATTCATTTGTGTTTGAAACAAAAAACTGTCGTAAGACTTTTATTCCACGAAGAGAGAAAATATGCCACGTCGAATTAGAATGTGTTAGAGCAACCACAGTGATTAGTTTCTAAGTAAGGTTTTTATGTATTTTTTATTAATAAATTTTGATAGTTTTGTAGTTTAGAGATTTTGTAGAGTTTTTGAAAATTTTATGGTCCATTGGTGGAATCCTTAAGTGGGTTTCTAAAAAATAAAATAAATTTTTTAAAATTTTTTGTTAATATTTTTATTTGAACAAACATGATTATTATTAGGAATTATAAAATTTTAAACATACATGATATAAAAAGAAGAAGAAAAAAAACATATTAAAAAAGCGAAAAAAATAACGATTACATTTTAAGATTGATTCTGGTAATAATGTTGCCATACATGTTCAACTAAATCAGCTTTCAATTCTTCATGTTTAATCCGATCACGAACTCGGGCTCTAGTGGCCATCATATTACCGAGATTTGAAGGCATATATATCTCTAGCATAAGTGAAATCCACTTGTGAAGAGCTGGTTGATTCTGGATGTACGAATTCAGATACATCAAACTGAGTATACCCATCTCGTTCGTCCTCTACTATCATATTGTGAAGTATTATACATGCTCGCATAATATTTTCAATTTTCACCTTATCATGAAAAAGAGCTGGATGTTTGACAATGGCAAACCGAGCTTGCAAAACTCCGAAAGCACGCTCAACATCTTTACGACAAGCTTCTTGAGTTGTAGCAAATAAAGAAGCTTTATCACCTTGTGGAATTGAAATTGATTGGATAAATGTAGCCCATTTAGGATAAATTCCATCTGTGAGGTAGTAAGCCAAATTATAGTCTTTCCCGTTGACTACGTATTTCACTTTCGGAGCTCGACCTTGTAATATATCATCAAAAACTGGTGAGCGATCAAGAATATTGATATCGCTTAAGGTACCTGGAGGTCCAAAAAACGCGTGCCATATCCAGAGATCTTGGGAAGCAACGGCCTCTAAAACGATTGTTGGTTTTCCTGATCCACGTGTATATTGTCCTTTCCAAGCGGTGGGACAATTTTTTTACTCCCAATGCATACAGTCGATGCTTCCTATCATCCCGGGAAATCCACGTTGCTCTCCAATATGGAGTAGTCGTATAAGATCATCTCGTGTGGGTCTTCTTAGATACTCATCCCCGAACAAATTTATGATTCCTTCTGCAAAATGTTCCAAACATAATAGCGACGTGCATTCACCAATTCGGAGGTATTCATCAACCGCATCAGCCGCAATACCATATGCGAGCATACGAATTGCTGTTGTAGACTTCTGTAGTGCCGAGAAACCGAGTCTTCCTGTAGCATCTCTTCTTTGTTTAAAGTATGGGACTGCATTGGAGAATCTCTCAACAATACGCATGAACAACGGTTTGTTCATTCTAAACCGACGTCGGAATATATGGGGAGGATATGTTGGATTTTCTGTAAAATAGTCGTTCACTAATTGGATGTGACCTTCTTCACGATGTCTTTCGATATATGCTTTTTTCTTCTTTGGCTTGACTCGTTGACGATTACCATAACTCTCTAATGCTTGATCACAACATTGATCAAACTTATCATCGAGATTATAGTTTGAAGAAGAACCTGCCATTTTAGCTAAATTATAGAAATAGAAAGAAGAGAAGAGTGTTTATTATTGTGATAAAGAGAGTTGATAGAAATATTGAAGTAGTGTAGAATTGTGTAGAAAGAGTAGTGTTCAACGGATTATATATAGAACAATAAAGGAGTAGTGTTCGGATTCTTATTATGTAGTGTACATTCATTCATACAAAATAAAGGAGTAGTGAATGGTACAAATGAATGGTACAATAATGAATGGTACAAATGAAAAAAACAATCAAGTTTGTGGTGACAAAACTAAAGTACATTCCTTGGTGACAAACTAAAGTACTTGATGTCGGCACTAAAGAACACTCCTTGGTGACAAACTAAAGTACTTGATGTTGGCACTTGTGGTCCTACAAAATGTAATAAAAAGATCAATCATAACTATAACTTAAACTGAACACAAACATGAAACATAAGACAAACATAAACTCAAACTGAAACTGAAACAACTCAAACTCATAAACTGAAACAACTCATTGATTAACATAGTCATACACTTAAACATAAAACATAGACTTAAAACAGACACTAAACATAAAAACAGACTTAAAACAGACACTAAACATAAAAACAGACTTAAAACAGACACTTAGACAAACATAAACTAGAAACAGACACTAAACCTAAAACTTAAACTCAAGCCAACAACTCATTGATTAACTTGTTCTTAAGATCAATCTCTATGTCAGATAGAGATTCTGTTTTTCCTAACAGACGCTCAAGCAACTTAGTCCTATTTTTCTTCTCTTTAATAATGATTAGCTTCTCTTTGGCAGCGTGATCTTTCTGTTTTATCTCCCAGATATTTTGTATCTCCTTCAAAGCATTGGTTTCTTCACCTTCAACCGGACTTAGCTTGGCTTTGCCTTTGGCTTTGGCTGCGGCTTTGGCAGCCTTAACACCAATGGGACGAGCTTCCTTGTCTTCAACGCCAACAGAGTCAGAGTCAGCTTCACATTTTCTTCTCTTTGCTTTCCCATGAGTAGACTGACCAATCCACTTTTGATCATATCTAAGCTCCCTCCAAGCATGCTCACAAGTAAACTTGCAGCCATAATCTTTCGAGAAGATCTGATGTGCCATAGACACCACATCATCATCATTCTGACCACTTGTTTGTTGTTTGCTTGCGGCCAAGTAGCTCCCTACAAACTTGTTCACGGCGTCATTCACTTTTGAGCACCTCTGTTTACAACATATGTGGCCTCTCTTTTCCACACCTTTGAGCTTGGGACTTGAGTTGTAGTACGCTGCTATACGTTTTCAGAACGCTGCTCCCTTTTGCTCATTGCCAACCACCAGATCCTTGGAAGTGTTCAGCCACCCACTTATGAGAACAACATCTTCAGTTGATGACCAATTCCTCCTTGGTTTCTTGGCTTTCTTCCCTTTCTTCCCAACAATTGGTGTTTCATCTTCACTTGGATCATCATCAGACCACTCAGTGCTAAACACAGGGACATTTGTTGATCCAAGTTCCAAGCATTCATATGGATTTGGTGGGAGAATGTGACTGTCATCTTGACTGTTCAACAGGTTTATAAAGCTTGAAGTATGATGATATGGATTCGTTGAATCCATATCTTTGTTTGTGGTTGTGTGTTTTAAAAATTAAAGGTTATGGTGCTGTGTTTTAAGGCAAATTATGGCTTTGTTAGACAGCTCACAATCAATGCCACACTAAATACTATTAACTTAAGTTAACCTACCAAGTAATCATCACAGTTTTACAGTTTTAAATGCTATAAGAACTAGCATTTGACGTTTACCTACAAAAGCATTTGACGTTTATCTAACTATGACACTTCTATTTATATCAACCAAGAAGCATTTATCACAATAAATAACAGTAAAGCATTGATTTCATTAATTAATACCAACCTGCATCACAGGGCTTCGCTCTTTACCCTTTGATAAGGCTTCAAGCTTTTTGTTGTTCAACTACAAACAACATAAATGGACAAAACATAAGATAGTTAAACGAAGATGCTGCATGTGAAAGTAAAGGATAAGACATTTAATTACCAAGAGAATTGGTGCCTGAGGGAAATAGCGAGAAATGAGATCACCAATGTTTTTAGCCACACCACAGAGCTTAACATCATCAAACCTCTCGTTTGCATGAAAGTATCCAACAATAAGACTTCACTGAGAATCAAGCAAACATATAGAAAACTAAGAACAAGCTAATAACAACATATGCAGCTCAAGCTTAGTACACGAACTAAAAATTTCCAGAATTCGTAATTCAATATAATTCCAATGCAATAAGATCATAATATCTTTCAAAATTCAATTTCAAAGCTCATAAAATCAAATCGATTCGAAGAAGAAGAGATACGAACCATGATGAGGGTTTCGATTTGGTTCGAAGAATCGATTTGGGGAACAAACTCCAGCTCGATCATCATCCCGTGGTTGAATCAGTCGTTTAGGTGGATGATCTGTCATGATTTCATGAACAAATCACTAGATCGGCGTCGACGAACTGAAGCGTTTGGTGTCGCCGACGGAGACCCCGAAGAAGAAAAGAGAAAGAAGAAGAAAAATAAAACGCGTTTTTTTTTGTCAACAACCTCTACCCAATAAAAAACAGACACGTATGAGTTTCTATTGGGTCGCGAAAAACCTATTTTTGGGAACGATCCTAAATGGATTGATCTGTTTTTCTTTCATCTGGGCCCATTTCTTCTTAGAACCCCATCTTAGAAACCCATTAAAAACCCTTGCTGGACTTGGTCTAACTCTATTCCACATTTTTTTGGTGAGTGTGAGGGAGACAATTTATTCAAATAAAAATAAAAAATTACAAACGAATAAAATTAAAATAGGCGGATACTAATAAAATTAATAGAAATAATGTTACGATCGATCTCTATCTATCCTTTTTCAATATGTGAACTCCCCGCTTAATTGCTAGACCCACCCTCTCCACCTCGATTAATGATTAATCCTTTAGAAAAATCAGTCATCCGATTTTTTTCCGCTTTATCCAATTAATTTCCGCCTAATCCGATTATTTTCCGCCTATTTTTACATATCCCGATTATTTTTTGATTGCATGTATAAAACAACTTTTTTTTTGTTATTCAAACATTTGAATTGGAAGTTTGTGATATTTTACAATAATTTATGTTTAAATTTTAATAAAAATCATAATTTTTTAATAAAAAATCATAAAAATTTGCTTTAAAATATATTTTTATGTGTTTACTGCAATTTTGAAAACAATATTCTATTAATATATTTTTAAAATATTAAAATAACCCTAAAACTAGACACCGATTAATCTCCGATTTTAATCCGATTTTCCGATTAATCGCTAGGCCCTTACTGAATGTCCGACTAACGCCTAACAATTTTTCAAACAAGGGATAAAACGCTAATTTTAGAAAGTTTACAAAGTTTTTTGGCGGGCAATTTGGCATATAGAGTAAAAAACTTATAAACTAATAATATTGAGACCATCAGAATCTATTAATATATCAGAGTGTTAATAATTATTAATTTATAGAAAAATTTGACTAATCTTTAAATTTTAAATATTTTTTATTATTATCAATATCTTTCTAAAATTACTCGGGGCATTCTTGATCACAGGTTCACGACAACTTGGGAATCTCTACTTCCCCTTCTCACGACATCAAACTCTTCATGACTTCACTGAGGTACGTTTTTCAGATCACTATCCATAATATATGGCGTGAATGTAATGGTCGACGTCATGGAGAGTGTTATTGCCGGGCTCCTCCGAATATGAAGGCGGTCTACGATTCTGGTTTCAATCTCATAGTCACTAGCTAGTCTATTTCTCTATATACTTTTTATTCTTTCAAAATATTTCAAAATAAACGAAAACCGATCCGATTTGAAATTGGTCTGATCAATATGATTTGAAATTAATTTTAAAAAGCATTATGTCAAGATGAATTGCTAAACAAACCATTATCCCAAGAAAAATGTATTTTAAATCTCATATTCGAATGAGGAACCGTAAAATATTTATAAAGTGTTGGTGTCGGATCCCGCACCAGAAGTACGAGACCAACCAAAGATTGCCACGTAGTCAAGTGGGTGGCCCATAAAGGATGAAGCCCATTGGGCTCATGAACCGAGGGGACGGTCGAAGTGGTTGTCACCACTTCGAGAGTCCGAAGTGACTGCACTGTGTCACGAGTTCGGTGTAGAAGACACGGGTAAGTCGGTTCGAAGACATTTGGGCCAGAAGAGGCGAAGCCCATGAAGATCAGAGTCAACTTAAATTCAAACGTTGAGCATTAAAGCCGAAGAATCAAAACGGACACATTTAAGATGAAATAATTGTACTTAATTACTCATTTTAAATGTCGTTTAGCTATGTATAAATATAAAGGCCAATGGCCATGTAAAGGGGATCTTCCTCTCAAGAAAGAAATAATATAGCAAATTTTCATCAGTTTACAAGTTTTTACGCATTCATTTTTGTCCCTCAAGAATTATCTTTCCCACTTAACAAAATACTTGAGTGTGTGAATCCGACTTCCACATTTTGGCGCCGTCTGTGGGGATTATCAGGATTCTTGAGTGGTCAGATTTCTTCTTTTCTACTTTCCCGAGATAAGCGACAATGTCCGGAGGAGACGCCGTTGAAACATCATTGGCCGAAACCCTCAAAGCTATGCAGCAAACCATGTCGGACATATCACAAAAGTTCTCAGATGTGGAGAAGGCCGTCGATACGTTGCAAACATCCCAGGTATCTCTTAGTCAAAACGTCAATAATATACAAACTCGTGTTCGCTCTTTAAGTGCAGGAAACCCGGTGGGAACCCGAAGAGGGATATTCAACTCGCCAAGTTCCGCTGCACGAAATGAAACCAGCGGACAAACAACTCCCGGTGCTACTAATAATGTAGCTCAGACGTCGGAAGAAGAGACACAGCTCGGGGATGAAGAACAACTTGCAGCTCAGTACGAGCAGGAGAACCTCGACCAGTTCGAGACCATGAGGAAGGTTAGCCAGGAATTAAAAGAAATGAAATCAAAATTTCATCAGGCTACAAGTTCGGAGCCAGACATCAATCGAGTCATTGAAGAAGCAAGGCGAACCCCTTTTATCCCGCGAATTGCAAGTTTGAGGATCAAAGATTCCCGGAAGCTGAAGCTGGACCCTTACAGCGGAGTGGAGGATCCAAAAAACTATCTTGCAGCCTTTCTGATCGCTGCAGGAAGAGTCGAGTTGGATGAAGCCGATGAGGACGCAGGCTATTGCAAGCTGTTTTCGGAGAATCTATGTGGCCAAGCTCTAATGTGGTTCACCCAATTAGAGCCGGGTTCGATCAGCAATTTCGACGAACTGTCAGCCGTATTCTTAAAGCAATACTCTATCCTTATGGATAAAAGCGTTTCGGATGCCGATCTTTGGAACTTAACGCAAGGATCTAATGAGTCACTTCGAGTTTTCATCACCAAATTCAAAGGGGTGCTATCAAAACTCCCAAGAATCTCACAGCAATCAGCTTTATCTGCCCTACGAAAAGGATTGCGACATGATTCAAGGTTTAAAGAAGACTTAATACTTCATAAACCAGATACAATTCAGGATGCACTCTTCCGTGCAAACAATTGGATGGAGGTAGAAGACGAAAAAGAAAGTTTTGCCAAACGGAATAAACAAGAAAAGCCGGCAGTCACCGTCCCTACCAAGAAGTTCGAGCCTAGAGAAAGCAAAGGACCAAGGAAGTTTGGGTCGCAACCCTTCAACAATTCCGTCGGGAAACAATTCCAAGGGAAAGGAAGATCAAACACTTGGGTCCGTGATGAAAGTCTATATTGCGACATTCATAAAGTAACCGGACATTTAACCAAGGATTGCAGCGTTCTTAAAAAGCACCTCGCAGAGCTTTGGGCTAATGGTGATCTTTCTAAATTCGATATAAAAGATTTTGTGAAGGAATACCACGAAGCAAAGGAAAACTCCAAAGATCAAGATTCCAAAAGACCAAGGTTATCCAACGAGGAAGAACCAAGAAGTTTGAAGGGGAAGATCAATGTGATTCTAGGAGGATCCAGATTTTGTGGAGATTCAATAAGTTCAATCAAAAAGCATCGACGAAATGTCTTACTCAAAGCAAGCTTAAGTGAAGAAGTCGATTTTCAAGGTGCATCAATATCATTCGATGAAGAAGAAACGCGGCATCTCGAAAGACCGCATGACGATGCTCTAGTCATTACTCTTGATGTCGCAAACTTCGAAGTATCAAGGATCCTTATTGATACAGGCAGTTCGGTCGACTTGATCTTTTTAAGTACTCTAGAAAAAATGGGAATCAGCCGAGGAGACATAGTAGGACCCCCATCTCCGTTAGTTGCATTCACAAGCGAGTCAGTCATGTCTCTCGGAACAATCAAGCTACCGGTCCTTGCCAAGAAGGTATCGAAGATCGTGGACTTCGTTGTCTTCGATAAGCCCGCTGCTTACAACATCATCCTCGGGACTCCCTGGATTTATCGAATGAGAGCAGTCCCCTCTACATACCATCAATGTATCAAATTTCCAACATCAAATGGGGTGGAAACAATTCGGGGAGATCAAGAAGCTTCACGGACTTGTTACTTAGCTAGCCACCGTATGAAGATTCAATAGCAATTAACGAAGCCCGCAAAAGAAGGACTAAAAACCAAATTTCCTAATGGGCAGAAGAAAGAAAATGTAGTAGTCGAAGTGGTACTGGAAGAAGACAAGCCGGACCGGAAAATTAGAATTGGAGCAACTTTGACTGGCCAAATAAAAGAAGCTTTGATCGAACTCTTAAGGAAAAACAAAGCATCATTTGCATGGTCAGCAGCGGACATGCCGGGCATAAATCCGAGTATAATTTGTCATGAACTAAACGTCGATCCAAGCTTCAAACCGGTGAAACAAAAAAGAAGAAAGCTTGGAGTCGAGCGGGCAAAAATAGTAAACGACGAAGTGGATAAACTCTTGAAGATAGGGTCCATAAGAGAAGTGCAATATCCGGAGTGGGTAGCAAACACTGTCGTTGTCAAGAAGAAGAATGGGAAAGATAGGGTTTGCATCGACTTTACAGACCTAAATAAAGCATGTCCCAAAGATAGTTTCCCGCTCCCTCATATAGATCGACTTGTAGAGTCCACCGCTGGAAATGAGCTGTTAACGTTCATGGACGCCTTCTCGGGTTATAATCAGATAATGATGAACCCCGATGATCAAGAAAAGACGTCATTTATCACAGATAGAGGTATCTACTGTTACAAGGTAATGCCTTTTGGTTTGAAAAATGCAGGAGCAACTTACCAACGGTTGGTGAACAAAATGTTTCACAATCATCTCGGGAAGACTATGGAAGTCTACATAGATGATATGTTGGTTAAATCATTGAAGAAAGAAGATCATGTTAAACATTTGGAGGAATGTTTTGATATTCTCAATAAATATCAAATGAAGCTGAACCCGGCGAAATGCACATTTGGAGTCCCATCCGGAGAATTTCTTGGCTATATCGTGACAGAAAGAGGGATTGAAGCCAATCCAAATCAAATTAACGCCTTCCTAAACATGCCATCTCCAAGAAACTTCAAAGAAGTACAACGGTTGACTGGGCGGATTGCGGCTTTGAATCGTTTTATCTCGAGGTCAACAGATAAGTCGCTGCCTTTCTACCAAATTCTAAAAGGGAACAAAGGATTCCTTTGGGATGAGAAGTGTGAAGAAGCTTTTGGGCAGCTTAAAGCATACTTAACCACTCCG